TGCGATAGCAGCGAATTTCACGAGGATTTTTCAATTGGGATATTTAATTTCATCGGAACATTACACGAGTTACTTAGATAAGATAAGTAGGATGAAACGCGAATTTTGATGAAAGACACAGTTTCCTTGTTGAAAGGAACATCCCACACATAAGGGAGAAGCTACGAAGAGTCTGCTCCGAAAGAGGGAGAGACACGGTTTCCTCGTTCATCACGATCCCCGCCGATAAATCAGTACACTTTGCGGTTCCCCATCGTGTTAGAACGGTTCATAAGCAGCATACCGCATCGCAGGGGTGCGGTTATCTTCGCATGTACCGGGTGTGCATTATCTCAGTCGGCGTATAAATACAGCAGAGCGATCGCGGGACGCGTAACAGGCCGTGAAAATGAGCGGCCGACGTTTCTCCTCGACGAGGGTAGAAATGGCATCATCCCTCCGCAGCAGGGGAGGTGGGAGTGGTCGGCGAGTGTTTATAAACGGGATTAGGGGAATCATCGATGGATGTCTCGTGCGGCGCAGGGGTGTGTCTGGCCTCGAGGGAAAGAGGGATGTGCACTTTCGTCGATGTACGACAGGCCTGGCCGTCGGATACTTTCAATCAGCCCGATTGATCGTGTAGTTATCTGGATTCACACGTCCCGTCGGCCGCATTTATTATCCTCGTCCCCACCCCCGTCCTTTGTACAGTGTCTGTTCGTGTTTGCCAGACTCTTTTGTTAAAACGTTCGACGGATCGTTGATCATTAGATATGCGCCTATTATATTGACATGAGACTTCTCCGATTGGATGGAATTTTAAATTTCGGACCCGTGTCACGTCATTTTTAGAACGAGTCCAGAAGGTGGTCGATAAATTGCAATCTACATCCACGAGAAACTTCTCGACTTGATACTTCAAACTCAACACCAACAGCACGAAACAACAGTAGTAACATCTTCAAGAATGATATCTGGTGCTGCACTAATTTTGAAACGTTTATCTAAAAGAAAACTGGCGTCGAAAGTTCCATAAAAGAGATCGTAGGGAATAAAAGTGCGCGATATCTGGTCCGGACGCGCATGGCTACGCGCAGGTTCGCTTCTGCTCTAGAAAATATCGCGAGGCTTTCGAAAAAGTGGCGATACTGGGAAAGGGGGAGGGAGAGAGAGAGAGAGCGAGAAAGGGAGAGAAAAAGAGAGAAAGGGAGGGGAAGCGGAGAGTTTGCACGCGAGGTTGCATGTGGCTCGAGCGCAGTGGGCGGGGACAAATATTGGCCACGCCTCTCGCTTCCCCTCTGTGGGCGGCGTGGTGGGGAGGCTCGTATCGCAATTGGTCTGCAACCGGTTCGCGAGGTCGTACCAACATTAATTATTCTAAATAAGTCGTCGCCCCTGCGGCGGCTGATTATAGAGTTTGCAGTGCCATAAATAGAACCCGTTTACAAATCGCGTTCGGGGAATAATGATCGTCGCTGCAAGATCCCGCGTCCTGTTCCTCCTTTTGCAAGCCAAACGAAAAACCCAATCAATCCCTGACGTACGAGACGTCGCGATTGGTCTCGCCCTAGGCGTTTTCTCTTTTCGACCAGAGAGTCCCCTTGGAATGACGCGTGTGGTTACGTGTGGTTCCTAACGAACGAATTCACCACGCTTGCCTCTTTGGCCAACCAACCTACTTCTTGCTAGAATACATTTGAACGGCAATCAGCCCAGAGACGGATGACAGTGTCAAATTTTCGAGGCAGACAAACTCCTTGCTGCTCCTTTTTTTACTACTTCTCTGCGGAATCTTGGATACAGAATGAATTAACCGACCGCTTCTCTTTCTCTTCGTGGAGGATGGTCGAGTCACAGACATCTATCGATACTTTCCAACAGCAAGAGACTCGAATCAGGTCTAAACTAAAACTGTGACTTTTTTCCCAAAAAAAGTTTTGTTCTCTCCAGTGACCGACTCCAGTGTTCACGGCTCGATTGTTGGATCAATTTACCACGATCAATCTCTCTTCGACAAATAACAGTGTAGCACGTTTAGATGCTACGGGAAGACTGTAGTGTTGAAAACTAGTTCAGAGTATCTCTCCCCTCCGGAGCTCCAGTAGTGCTCCGACTGGAAAGCGGTGCTCCGTTCTCAGACGAGGCCGCTATTGATGGATAGACACGTTATGGTTATTTATAGCGGCTATCTCTATTATGGTTCTTACGTGAATCTAACCAGGGACTAACGATCCTTTTGTGGTTCACGTGGCAGCTGGTATCCCTAGGTGTGGTCATTAATAAAACCGTGATCTCTAACAACCGGAGTGCTGCAGCACGTTTCTTTGCGAATTCTAGACTGGCCGAACAAAGGAATTGCCTTCTGTTATCCCTCGACGGCTAATCCGACCGTGGCTAGAAATATAATTTTGAAAGCCACGGATGGAAACCGTGTTGTGCTCGTAAGAAGGAGAACGCTGACGGTGAACAGGTGTTGCGCAACCCATGCAGAGAATTTTATGGACACGTAAAGAGTCGACTTTTTTGGCGATTGCGGTATTTCTTCCTTCGGTTATAATCGAGACCCGACGATTACCATCATTATCTCCGCTAGGATTACCTGTTACGTTATCTACTATCTTGTAAAATGCTCGACTCCACGCTCTTTCTACTAATCGCGTTTATTCCAACGAACGAACATTTCTATTTTATGCGGTAATTACTTGCACCGTAAGCGTTTGTTTCTAAACTATTTGCCAGCTTTAGGTTATTTATTGGCAGCCGGCTGAAATTTACGAATTTTCATTAATCACGATCCGATAATGAAAATCGGTTCGCACGTGACCGGTGAACTCACGAGGTACGTTTTGTTAGGGAGCTTTAATTGGCACGATTTTAATGACGGCTCCTTAGAAGTCTCGCGTGCTCCTAATGCATAGGTTCGCTCCTTTCATGTCGTGAGCAAATAACGTTTCCACCAGAAGAAGAGAATCTCGTGCGATTAGACGTTAAAAGGGTTAATGACTGTAATTTTCTCTTTACTGGTTAACGGCCGAGTGTGTCGTCGATATTTCTAATGAAGTTAATTACGCCAAGTCGGAGTGTCCGCGACACATATCAGAATCATAACAATCCAAGATTTCACTTGAACGATAAGGGTTCGTTCACCGTTCATTAGAAGTTATAATGGAGAAAACAACTCCTTTCGCGTCGGAAAGTTTATGAACGCGATCCTAGTTCAGTTACCGCTGATATTCTGAATTTTATCACGCGTGACAGTGACGAGGGTGCAAACGGTACTTTTAACTTCTAACCCTAACCAAAAGATTGATAGAAGTAAGTTGTAACATATGCAGACGGGATGATGAGCCATATAGTTGTCCGTTTTTTGAACAAACAATCAGTTGACGCATGTAAACTGAAATGAAAGAGGAAGAAGAAATGAATGGGAGGAAGAAGGTAGCTGTGGACCAGCATCTGCGCCACGGATAATACATTTGTTCGTTAATCGTCACGGAGCTCCACCCCAAAAAGAGGGGAAGTGGTGGGAGAGGGTTCGTTCGACGGCGGATGGTCGGGTAAATTTTTGTATAAAGCGATTTCGACGTCGAACGATAAAATTCACGTCAGTGAGAGAGAACGCTTGTCGACTCGAAGAAATGAATTAGCTGCCTTCGGATAGAAAAGCGAAGGTGGGAAGGAACAAAAGTATGGAAGTAGTGGGCATCGAGAAGTAGGAGGGGAAGGTTGGCGGGCGTGGCTTGTCAGGGAGGGGCAACATTGTGGGCGAGATCTTGGCTGGAGACGGTGGTGGGGGATGAAAGGGGCGGGGAAAAGCTAGTGCTTTTACTGACATTCGCAGTGGCGCGGATATCTTCGTTTTTTTAAAGCAATATTGCCAAATTACTTGGAAACGTTACGGGTATTTTCCAGCGTATGCGAGCTGCAATTAACAAGGCATATAACCAAGTCTTGCGACGACAGTTCTTTCTTAATTGTATTAAAAAATTCGGAGAACGAAGACAAAACCTGATGTATACTGTCTTAAGTAACGACACTGTTTTTAGTTTTGTATAATTCCTCCCGAAAATGGCCGAGCATTTCATGGACGTACAAGGAAAGTCATGCCTCAAAAGAACTTGACAACATATTTTTCCTAAAGTAGCGATACGTAGAAGAGCCGTGGAAAAAAACGGTAATAAGTAAGACAAAAATCTGGTCGCCGTTGAAACGAGACTGGAACGATGCAGTGGCATCGATCGTAGTAAACTCCAGCCCCCTACTCTCCGTGCCACTGGTAGTGGGGGGGGGGGCGATCGAACAAAAGGGAGTAGGGATAAACTTTACGCCAGTAGGCGGAGCCTATGACTGAAGAGTTAATAGAGATACAATCGAGGGTGTCTAGTGCACTGCACTCCAGACTGGGGCGTAGGAGGAGTGAAGGGGCGAGGGGGACGGAGGGGAAAGCGGTAAGTAGGGACCACAGGTCCCCTAGTTTAGACATCACTGAGCGACGGATGGACAGCCAGTCAGACCCGTCACAGCACTCGCTCGAGTCCTCGGAAACCCCGAGAAAAGCCAATACCAAGGAGAGTTGCAGTTCTTGAAGTTGATCCGGAGTCGAACCGTTAATCTCGCTTTGGGCGACAGACATATTCGACGTGGCAATACCTTGTCACTAGACGACGAACCTGCCATAAGAGCAGGGGATACCATGCACTGTCCATAAATATTACGCAATATTACGCGGGAACAGAACTTTCGAGACGTCAGAGGCGGCTGGAGCGCTTGCAACCAACGATCTGTGATCTATGAAGTATCAGTGCGGTGATTCTGAGGAAAACTTTCACGAACGATATTAAATAGTGAGCCATAGTGTCTTGACTAGTGAACCTTGACAGACTAGAAACGTGACAGAAGTGTGACTTTCTGTGCATTTTCACAAGTATGACAGCAGAGGATTAACATCGCCGTCCGTTAAATCCTATCGTTCAACTGTCACGAGAGAGACCACAGAAGAGAAAGATTTAAAAGACCGAAAGATGAGCGTAGCTCTCGTGACAATGGATTCCGCGTATGGCCTTCGACTGGGAATTGGCAGCCATCACCACCACCACCACCACCACCATCATCACCATCATCGGGTGCGCTCGCCCGAGAGTCACGTGGTTCCTCATCAGGATCAACAACCAGATCAAAAAGACGACATCGACGATGTGCCATTGAGATTCAGCGTGGTAAACATTCTCAGACCGGATTTTGGCCGAGAGGCGATTCTCAACACGAAAGCACCGAAACAGACCAATTTGGTGGCCGATCATTCGACGACGATCCCGGTCCCGATCTCTCGTCACAGTCCTCTTTCTTTGCCACGTGATTTGAGCCTGTCGTCGAACCGATTGTCACCTACGAGGCCACAGCCCAGCAGTTTCTCCGTGCATAGAGAAAGGGATCTGTTCTCTTCTCACTGCGGGCTAACATCACCCCTTCAGAGGAGCTCTACTGGCCTCAGCAGAAGCGGAAGTCTCGAGAGCTTGGCCAGCAGCAGAAGCTCGGTCACCGGAAGCTCCGTTACCGGAGCACCTTCATTGGGTTCCACGTCCTCTACCATTGGCAGCGACTCCTTAAGCGGAGATAGCAGTTCCGGAAATACGTCTAGTGCCACCACCAACTCGGCTGGACTCAACGGACAAAGTCCCTGGCCTGCGTGGGTTTACTGTACCAGATACTCGGACAGGCCTTCTTCCGGTAGGTCTCTTTGCTTCAATTCTTTCAGAATCTTTCGCGAGAAATTTAAAAATGTCTCTTCTATAGTTATTAAAATCTTCAATTTAACAATATTGTTGGATATTACCTTACACGAGCATGGGAATTAATAACTCCAATACACGCGAGCAGCGAAACTGACAGATCACTCTAGGTCCCATACGGAGTGTCCACGGGATCTCCATCGAGACAGATACATCTCTATACAGTTAATCAGTCAGTGTCACGGAAGTGGCAGAACTGGCGACTAATCGGCCATAGCTGGTGTGACTCTGCCGCTGCTATTTCTCTGTACATCAGCTTAATCAATTTACCTTCGGCAACCGTTACGTCCCGAAACCAGTTTCTATGTAAATCAACGCGCGTTCCACGAGACGCCGTCGAAAAGTCCCGCAGCACTCGATGTAGGTATAAAGCCCGTCCAATCGCAATCTTATTCCCGCGGTGTAACGCGATCGAACTCTATGAAGACGTAGGTTCAACCTATCTGAAAGTCTCGGAAGGAACCGACCGGTACCGAACTATCGGGCTGCATACTTTATGTATAATTGAGAGCCTTGGCGCAGGGTGAACGTGCGCCACTTTGAATACACCACCTGCGCCCGTTCGCAGAACTCGTCACTCCCCTGAACCTATAACCGCGATCTACCTTCTGCGACCGTGCTGTCCCAGATACGCGACTTCTATCTAGCCGACAGGGTGGTCCGTGACTCTACCACTCGATTGTCGCCCTTTCTAATTACCGTGAATCGTGATCGATGTTTCGTTGCTTGTTGCTCGTCTCGTGGTTAATTGAACGACTCAGACTGATCGAGCGATCGACGGTAGATTTTAATCAAAGGTTTATTGTTGTGACGATGTATCTTTGAATTTGGGACGATGGTTCACTCGAGAGTTCACTCGAGATTCGTGTGCGATTTCTTCAACGTAATAATTTTTTTTTTTTTTTTTCATTTTGAAAATCCTGTCGAAACACAGGATGTAAACTTGACTTTTCGAGCGTAAGGAATAATTTCCGTTGTTCGAACAACTATCGTCGAAGTTGAATCGTGAACGCTTCGTTATCAGCTTTGAAAACACGGTAGGTAGGTAGGTAGGTATTTGTGTTTCCTTAAAAAGCTACGAACGATTCGTTTCACGAGGAATAGTTGATTCCCCTGTTAACGCGAGATTCAGCGATAAAGTTGCCTCATGAATATTCAATACCTGTCAACGGTGTTTCCAATAACTTTTCTAAACGTCACGAAAACACGATAGACGGTGATATAGCCGGATTAATATAGCAATTCTCGCGTTCCGTGAAGTGAAACGATAAAAATTCCAAGGAAAACTCTCTTTAATTGCTGCACACGCGTTCATCTAACGAAACATCGATCGAGACAGAATTCTCCGTTAAATCACTTGTTCCTTGACGACGATGTGATCGTCGAGACTCTCGTTATCGTGTCGTGAAACGCTTATTAGAACAGGATTTACGGTCGATGGTCGCTCGCGGCCGTCTGCATTCGATCGGTAGCATCTTAACCTCGGAGATTCCATTATGCGATGAATGTGCTAGTTCGATGAAAATTGAGAACAATCGTCCCGTAATGATATGCAGGTGTACATATAAGCGTAATGGAATGGAATCGTAGCGTAATCGAAATCGAAGGAATTAACGAGCAATTAACCGGTTTTGCTTGCAGGACCGCGAACGAGGAGGGTGAAACGATCGCAGAGCGGGAAGAACGGCTCGCCGGAGGAGAAGAGACCGAGAACGGCGTTCAGCGCGGAACAACTGGCCAGGCTGAAGAGGGAATTCGCGGAAAATCGATACCTGACCGAGAGAAGGCGGCAGCAGCTCTCCCGAGACCTGGGCTTGAACGAGGCGCAGATTAAGATCTGGTTCCAGAACAAAAGGGCAAAAATCAAGAAGGCCAGCGGGCAGAAAAATCCGCTGGCTCTTCAATTGATGGCCCAAGGTCTGTACAATCACTCGACGGTGCCCGTTGACGAAGACGGCGAGGAAGTCGTGACTGGAAGCAATCATTCGCACTAATGACGAGCAACGTGTCCTCGAGAAAGTCGCTCGTTGTTCGTCGTTCTCGAGAAATTTTCATTACATGGCCGGCCACTCGCCGCGTCGCAACAACGTTTCCAACATTTCCTCGAACGGAAATGATCGCGAAATCATTTGAAATCGATCACGTGTCTAATCGGAATTTCGTACGCGTTTAGAAATGGGAAACGTTTGAAGAAGTAAGAAATGCGACAATATTTATCGTTGATCAGGACGGCAGGATCTTGATCTACTTACGTAGCTATGCTAAGCGATTACCAAATAATTTTTTACTTTAGCTTAGACGTAGCTGCAACGATGCTTCTTGAAACAGAGGAATCTGGAGCGATTTGTAAATCAGAGAAAGATATAGATAGATAAATAGACAGAGAGAGAGAGAGAGAG